ATGGGAGGTGCCACGCCTCCTTTTCCGATAACCACAATTTTTCTCCATGTTTATGCGATTGCTTTCATATATCTCCATACCAAGTTCGAGTTCTCTTCCATTAACACATCCAGAGATATGCAGTTTGAAAAATTCGGTTTGTATGGCAGGTGTCACCCCGCTTTTTCCAATAGCCCCAATTTTTCTTCATGACTATGCGACTGATTTTATATATCTTGTAAATACCAAGTTTCAGTACTCTACCATGAACACTTCCAGAGATATGCAGAATGAAAAATTCGATTTGTATGGGAGGTGCCACGCCCCCTGCACCTAGCGGTGTGAAATATACTTTACATCCGATTTTCATACCTACCATATACACACAAAATTTCATAAAGATCGGTCGAGCCGTTTAGGAGTAGTTCGACCACTAACACCGTGACATGAGATTTTTATATATTAGATAGTCAGTGCCAAATGTCAATATACATAAATCGAATTTTTCATACTGCATATCTCTGGAGGTGTTCATTGTAGAAGACTCCAACATGGTATGGAGGTATATGAAATCAATCGCATAGTCATGTAAAAAAATTGGAGCTATTTGTGGCGCCTTTCAAACGCACTGAGACTATTACGTATCTTTGTATGCATGTATACTTTAGCTAGGTTATTTAAGACTGCAATGGAAATATGCCTTCTGACAACCACCAAACCGTAATATTAGAAGATACATGCGTCATTGAAAATCAAGGACGTGAACTGTTGGTGAAAATGTTGGACCAAATCGTTTCAATACAAAAAAATTTATATTGGGCGGGATGAAGTTCGCCGGGTCTGCTAGTCTTACTAATATTATAAATGTGAAAGTTTGTATGTTTGGAAAATCATCATGCGGAAACGACTGAACGGATTTGCATGAAAATTTGTACGCGGATAGCTTATGGGCCAGATTAGTTAATAGGCTATTTTTTTAAGAGTTGCCACCTGTTAAAAAGTTTAATTTATTTAAATGCGGGAACGACTGAATAGATTTGCATGAAAATTTGCACACAGATAGGTTATGACCTAGATTGGAAAATAGGCTACTTTTCTTAAGAGTTGCCACCTGTTAAAAAAGTTTCATTAAATTAATACGCGGAAACAACTGAATGGATTTGCATGAAATTTTGCAAGCAGATATCTTATGACCTACGGTGAGAAATAGGCTAATTTGTTGGAAGAGTTGCCACCTGCTAAAAAAGTTTTAATTAAACTAATACGCGTAAACGACTGAAAAGATTTGGATGACATTTCGCGCAGAGATAGCTTATGACCTAAGTTACAAAGTAGGCTACTGTTTTTAAGAGTTGCCACCTGTTAGAAATGTTTAATTTAATTAATACGAGGAAAGGAATGAACTGATTTGCATGGAAGTTTTCACACAGATAGCTTATGAGCTAGGCTGAAAAATAAACTACTTTTTTTAAGAGTTACCCCTGCTAAAAAAAAGTTGAATTAAATTAATACGTGGAAAAGTCTGAACGGATTTGCATGAAATTTTGCAAGCAGATAGCTTATGACCTACAGTGGAAAATAGGCTAATTGTTTGAAAGAGTTGCCACCTGTTAAAAAAGTTTTAATTAAATTAATACGCGGAAACGACTGAACAGATTTGCATGACATTTCGCACAGAGATAGCTTATGACCTATGTTGGAAAATAGGCTACTATTTTAAGAGTTATCACGTATTAGGAAAGTTTAATTAAATTAATACGCGTAAATGACTGAACTGATTTGCATGAAAGTTTGCACACAGATAGCTTATGACCTAGACTGGAAAATAGGCTACTTTTTTAAGAATTGCCACCTGTTTGAAAATGAAATTTTGCTCAAAGATGGTTTATGACCTGGATTGAAAAATAGGCTACTTCCTTAACCGGTTTTCCGATCAGAACGAAATTTAGTACACTTACTACGGATTTCGGAAGGATGGTCTTAGACTGAAAGTAAGTCCGATAACTCAAGGCCCCTCCCATACAAATTGGAATTTTCATATTACATACATATCTCTGGAAGTATTTGTGGGAGAGAACTGAAACTTGGTATAGTGATATGTATGTGAAATCAATGTTGGCATTAATCGATTGATGTTTTAATTAGTTAGTTAATTCGATTAAATTCAATCTGATTACAGTTAATCATGATTAATTTTAATCCGACTAAACAGTTAATCGTAACCGCGATTAAAAAATTAATTTTTAATCATTAACTCTTAATTTGATCAAGTAGGTTTGGTGATTAATTAAGTTATGCTGGAATTTCCCTGTGCACACAAAGCAAGTTAATCCGGTATGGCTAAGTCGGGTTTCCTCATCAATCTAAGCAATTTGGTGTGCATTTTCATTAAGATATATACCAACAAACGTTTTACAAACTAGGTTTGTAAAAGTTCCCAGTTTATGTATTACTAATAACAATAATTATAATTTTTTTATATTATGTGCTTTTTATAAGCGTAAAACACAAAATAATTACTATAACTGGTGTTTGGTTTCAAACTCGGACAAACTAGACAAATTAATCAGATTTTATTTTTAATTGGATTAACGATTAATGTTTTAAATTAATTAAACGTAATCGCAGCCAGCGATTAACGATTAAAAAAATGTTATCATTAATCGTACAGTTGATTACGACTAATTAATTTTAATCGTCAAACGCGATTAACATTTTAATCGTTAATTTTTAATCGTTAATCAGATTAACAGTTTGCCAACACTGTGTGAAATCATGTTCATATTCACGGAGAAAAATGGACGTTTTTGGAAAAGAGGCGTAGCACCTCCCATACTGACTGAAAGTTTCATATTGCATATCTCTTCAAATGTTTGGGGTAAAGCACTCAAGCTTGGTATGGAAATACATATGTATGTATGTATGTATGTGAAACTAATACCATACTCATGGAGAAAAATGAGAGTTATTGGAAAAGGTGGTGTGGCAACTCCCATGCAAATTGATTTTTCTATGCTGCATATCTCTGGAGGTGTTTATTGCAGAGGACTGGAACTTGGCACCGAGATGTGTATACAAAATTAATTCCATACTCATGGAGAAAAATTTGCGTTATTCGAAAAGGGGGCATGGTTCCTCCCGTACAAATTTACTTTTATACTGCATATCTCTAGAGGTGTTCATGGTAGAGTACTGGGACTTGGTACTGGGGTATGTAAAATCAATTCTAAATTCATGGAAGAAGATTAGGGTTATAAGAAAAAGGGGCGTGGCACTTCCAGTACAAATTTACTTTTTCTTGCCACATATCCCTGGAAGTGTTTGTGGAAGAATACTGGAACTTGGTATGGAGTTGTGTATGCAAAATGTATCAATTGCTCATGGAAAAAATGTGAGTTATTAAAAAAGAAGGCATGTCGTCGCCCATACATGCTAAAAACTTCTTAATACATATCTCTGGAAGGATAGAAAATCTCTCGAAGTATTTTAAATTTGTTATGGAGATTAATTTTATAAGTGCCGTACCGACAATAAATTTCATGAAATGGAAAAGGGAGAGCCGGGTTCGGCCTTATAATCTAAAGCTCTCTTGAGGCATTTGCTACAGTAATGAGAAGTGGTATTTTATCAAGGCCAGGTTACTAAATTTGAGTTGGAAATATTAGAACCCGCCGTGGCACCTCCAAGAAGGTTACACATTCGCGCGTCGTATACCTGGAACAATTTTAAGGTAAACTTAGAGAGATTAATATCTTTCGTATGCCTAGCGCGCAGACGAGATTTTATATTTTCATAGTTTTAAACGGCCTAAATACCTTAACTCACTTAAAAAACAGCTAGCTATAACGAAATGGGCACAGAAATAAAATCTAACATCATTAAATTATTTTTCATATTTGTATAAAAGCGCGGGGTGAAACCCGCGGGTAAACGCTAGTAAAGATATAAAGAGGAAAATCAGATGGTCAGACAAAGAAAAAAATGCGGCCTTCGCTGCATTTGGCAGCCTCATCGAAAACAACCAGCTTCCTGCTACTAGAGATTTGCGACAATTTCTAAATGATAACCAATGGATGCCCAGAACTGTAGATCAAGTCCGAACCTGGGCATCAAACGAAAAGAAAAAATATAACCTGAGAAAAACATAAAGATAAAAATAGAGACCGTATAAACTTATATACACTTGTATAAACTTGTAAGCATAAAGATAAACATATAGGAACCATTCTTTTTTAAGCCGGACGGATTTCGTAATAAAAATTGTCATGTCTCCGATTCGCTTAATTTTTTTGGGTTCTATACATGAAATAAGCTAACACGTGTTCAAGGATTTTATTTTTTTTCTTCGGAGATATGATCAAAGTTGCATTTTTCGTGATTCTGACTAATCATGTAATTCTTCAAATCGTTATATCTCGAGTTCGGCGTTTTAAAGCTAAAGAAACGGGCTTATCATTTCTATAAACAAAATGGTCAAGATTACCCTAAAGCTAACTTAGCTATTAACAGTTGAACTTTTTGAAGTTGATTTGCATAGTTAAGACCAGTAAATTATGGATTTAAAATTAAACCATCGTAATCCTTGTTTAATTCTCTATAAAAACTTGGTTCAAAAAATGGGCGTTTTTCAAGAACTACTTTTAAAACAATTTTTTTTTATTATGAAATGGTTTATTTTGTGAGAATCAAAATTTTTTTGTAATTTCTTTTCGAAAGCTTATGTTGAGATATATTTAGTAAAGTGTTAAAAATCGAGTTTTTGCAAAAGTAAAATTATATTGCGGGTTCCGATAGAATACCTACCCGGATATATTATTTGGCGACAAACTCCTAGAAATTGGCGTGACAAGGACTTAAGTTAGCAAAACGCAGATTTTCTTGCGGATTTCGGCAGAATATCGCTTCGTTAATAACAAAACC